ATGGAATTAACTTGGTTTTCCGTTACATGTATTGTAATCATATGAAGAAAATGTCTTGCAAAACAATTTTTCTTAATTAAAAGCTGCAAAGGGAGACAACTCAGTGTTATTTACTAATTTACAAATTAAATTCTTTACTAGCACCAAGGATTTGTATGAAAATCCTTGCTAGCACAAATTGTCACAAATTCATCTTAGAAAAAAAATATGAGTGAATGCCTTTCCAGTGTTAATCCCCCCCCCCCCCCCTCAAAAAAAAAAAAAAAAGAAATTGGTAAATCCAGGAACATATATATTGATCCCAGGTAAATCTAAACAAAAAGATGTATTGGTGTTTTATAATATTTGTAACCCACTACAATTTATATGCAAGGCTATTCTGAAAGAATTAAACTTCAAAGAGAAAACATTTTCTTGATATTATCACAAATAATTAAGATGATAGCCAGTACGTATTTTACACATGTCCATTTCCGTATGGCATTATTTATTATAATAATTAACTATGACCCGACGATAAAATCAGCTATAATTAAGTAGTGGCCTGTCTTCATATTGGTCCACATTAAGGTCCAAAGGGTCCAAAATTAAACTTTGTTTGAAAAAAAAATGAATGGTTGGGGTTCTTTGATATGCTAAATCTAAGCGTGTATTTAGATTTTTAATTTTGGGCACAGTATTCAAGTTGGTCCAAATTGGGGTCCTAAATTGAACTTTGTTTGATTTCATCAAAAATTGAATTATTGGTGTTATTTGATATGCCCAATCCAACAGTGTTTTAGATTTTTGATGTTGAGCTTGGTTTTCATAGTTGGTCCAATTTGGGGTCCAAAATTAGTATTACGTACATGGGGGGACATATACTTGCCTCCCCATGCCGCTAAAGTTATATTTGCTTAAGAGCAACAAAAACACATCTATTTCCATTACACGTTTATATCAAAGAGACAGATAACATCACATGACAAAAATGCATCATTATACAAAGGGACACAACTCTCACGACTTTACCATAAAACACATACGACCATACATATACATAACATCCCCGCCCCAAAAAAAATTTCCCAAATTTTATCCAAAAGGTGTATGTGTTTTATCTATATACAATTTCAAGAAGAAGAAAAATTGCTCTATAAATTCAAACTATATAATCAATTCCGTAGATCTATAAGACTAAAATCAGTTTCCAAATAATCTTTGTAAATACAAATTATAATAACTGAAATATTTGTGACTGACCAGTTCTCACATCTAGCATCCATTGGCATACACACCAGTATCAACTATGCAGAAAATGCGAACGTCTGGCATCCGATCTCCCCCTTAGGACCTTATGCACGCATTACGTTCATTCAACTATATGAACTAAAAAATTATGCATTTGATACATTTACTCAATCTACTAAATGGAAAAGACTAGAATATTGTCATAAATGTAGCTGTATACAACAAAATGATAGATAATCATCAGAGACCTTTAACTCTTAACAATGGTAAATATTACATCAATGAAACACTTCATAAGTTACATATGTCAGTAAAAGAAATTACGACTAATTCTCCCTCTCCAACATGGCCAATCTCTCATACTGCACACTCACAAAATAAAATAAAGATGAAACAAATGAAAAGCTCCAGAAATGTCAATATCAACCTAGGTTTTATTTAAGACTTTTATCCTATCGCTACTGACAATCCGCTGTCCAATCAGGCCAACTGTTTACAGAAATTTTATGTATAAACCTGGTTTCACACATACCAGATAATTCATAAAAAAAAATCCATCAGACAAAACTGATATTCAGTATTAATGTTTGAAAAAATTCTGTGTTTCCCTTGTAACTTGGGAGTGTACGACTAGATAAATCTCACACGTACCGTCTGGCGTCTTTGTAGTAGAATCTAAATCGTTCAAAACTGTTACATATTTTCCCCTGCTAAATCCTAAATACACATATAGGTCAAGCCGATTAGTTACTAAAGATAATGCCAATTACTAAGCAATTATTTTCGAAGTACTGTAAGATGATAGGCCGGGACGTCACATGACACATGCTACAGTTTTCTGCACACATAAACATACACAGCTGTATTGATGTCTAACTCCAATGTGGTTAAAAGTTTTTTGTGTAGAAATTTCTACAGAGTCCAAATGAAACATTAAAGAGTATATAACGACCAGATGACAAATAATAAACAATTGCGAAAAGCTTTCAATATAAATATGCATGTAGTTTAATAACAGTTCTTAGAATTTTACAAAAAAAAATGTACAGTTTTCTTTTGTTGACGAAAAACTCCCATGTTGACTTCTGAATATTGGCTAAATCCAAATTAACATCCAAATTTTACATAAAATCCTACAATCGATTCCGGTGTCAAATGCATGGTACTGCTATACTCTACTGAACGAAAATTCCAAGATTTTAACGTAGTCAAAATTTAATAATGGCGCCGCCAGCCTCGTGTTCTAGACTTTTAGAAAGTTGATTCATCATCTTTGGGACAGCTCACATAAAATACACTTAACGGGATCGTTTTGAAGTCCTCCACCATATTACGTACATGGGGGGACATATACTTGCCTCCCCATGCCGCTAAAGTTATATTTGCTTAAGAGCAACAAAAACACATCTATTTCCATTACAAGTTTATTTCAAAGAGACAGATAACATCACATGACAAATATGCATCATTATACAAAGGGACACAACTCTCACGACTTTACCATAAAACACATACGACCATACAGTCAGGAATCTGATGTTCAGTAGTTGTCGTTTGTTGATGTGGTTCATAAGTGTTTCTCGTTTCTCGTTTTTTATATAGATTAGACAGTTGGTTTTCCCGTTTGAATGGTTTTACACTAGTAATTTTTTGGGGCCCTTTATAGCTTACTGTTCGGTGTGAGCCAAGGCTTCGTGTTGAAGACTGTACTGTGACCTATAATGGTTTACTTTTATAAATTTTGACTTGGATGGAGAGTTGTCTCATTGGCACTCATACCACATCTTCTTATATCTATATACATAACATTAGACTTTGTTTAATTTCATCAAAAATTAAAATGATTGGTGTTCTTTAATGTGTGCAATCTAATGGTGTTTTAAGCCCCGTTTTTTGTCAAGCCTGTGACTTCTGTCGCAGAAAGCTCGACATAGGGATAGTGATCTGGCAGCGGTGGTGGTTGCGGCGTTAACTAACTTCTTAAAAGCTTAATATTTCAAAAGGAAGAATACTTGGGTCCTTCATATTTTGTATATAAATGCCTTATTTTATGAAGTTTCTGTCTGTCATATGTCCATTGTCCTTGACCTCGTTTTCATTGTTCAGTGACTACTTGAAAAAAATGTTAAGATTTTTAGTATTCTTAATTTCTCTCTTATTATGAATTAAAGGAAAACTATATTTGGTATGTGCGTACCTTGCAAGGTCCTCAGGCCCGTCAGACAGTTTTCACTTGACCTCGACCTCATTTCATGGATCTGTCACAGTGAACAAGGTTAAATTTCGAGGTCAAGTCCATATCTCAGATACTATAAGTACTAGGTCTACTATATTTGGTATATGGAATGATCGTAAGGTGTACATGTCCAACTGGCAGGTGTCATCTGACCTCATTTTCATGGTTCAGTGGTTATAGTTAAGTTTTTGTGTTTTGGACTGTTTTTCTAATACTGTATGCAATAGGTCTACTATATTTGGTGTATGGAATGATTGTAACGTGTACATGTTCAACTGGCAGATGTCATCTGACCTTGACCTCATTTTCATGGTTCAGTGGATAAAGTTAAGTTTTTGTGTTTTGGCCTGTTTTTCTTATACTAACTGTATGCAATAGGTCAACTATATTTGGTGTATGAAAATATTTTAAGATGTACATGTCAGTCTGGCATGTTTTATTTGACCTTGACCTCATTTTTACCGTTCATTGCTCAATGTTAAGTTTTTTGGTCTATTTTTCTAATACTATTAGCAATAGGTCAATTATATTTGGTGTATGGAATGATTATAAGGTGTATTACATGTATCATGTGTATATAATAATGTCTGTCTAGCAATTATCATCTGACCATGACCTTATTCTCATGGTTTATTTGTCAATCTTAAGTTTACCTGGTTAAGTTTGTTTCTTAGATACTATATGCAAAAGGTCAAGTGTATTTAAAGCATGTAATGATTGTAAGGTGTACATGTCTGTCTGGCAGGGTTCATCTGACTTTGACCTCATTTTCATGGTTCATTGATCAATATTAAGTTCTCCTGGTTAAGTTTGTTTCTTAGATGTGCAATAGGTCAACTATATTTAAAGCATATTTTGTGTATGGAATGATTGTAAGGTGTACATGTATTTCCAGTTTGGTTTACCTGACATTTGACCTCATTTTATCATGTTAAGTTTATGTGATAGTTGTAGTAAAGCTTTATATTTGGAACTATCAACATAATATCAATGGTTAGTAAAGAAGGCGAGACATTTCAATCTTGTTTTAAACTGGTCCACCTTATGGTCCAAAGTAGCCAAAGTTAAACTTAGTTTAATTTTAAGAAAAATAATTCTTGGGATTCTGTGATATATATGCTATATCTAAGCATATAATTAAATTTTTGATTTTGAGCACAATTTTCAGGAGTCAAAAATTAAACTTCGTTTGAATTTAACAAAAAGTGTTTATATGGGGTTCTTTGATATGCTGAACTTAAGTCTACATGTAGATTTTGGACTTTTTGTTTGTAATCATTATTGGTTCACATTGCAGTTCAAAGGGTCCAAAATAAACTTTGTTGGATTTTCTTTAAAATTGGAATTCTAGGTTTTTTTTTATATGCTGATTCCAACCATGTGTTTAGAATTTGGATCTTGGACTATAATTGGTAAATATCCAATTCTGAATTATTTAAGTACTTAATCAGACTCTAAATTTATAGATGTATTGCACAACTAACAGAAATTTTAAGTTGAGTTATAGTTTAAAATAGAGTTGCTGATTCAGATATATATTACCGGTAATAGACTTGTATCTTTTTCTGTACAATATGGACCATAAAGTAAGAATGATTTAGTTTTCTATTGAATATCAGAGGGATTTCTGGAATGATGGCACCGCTTTTAGAAGAAGAAGAGAATTATATCAGATTAGCCTTGTTATTGAAAGGAGTGTCACCAAGAGCAGTCCGTACTTTCTTTGACAAAGAATTTCCACCTACACATCTACCATCAACATTAAATAAAAACTACAATACTCTCTACGACTTGAATTTAAAAAGAATCTTGAACCAGGCTCAGTGGAATCTTTTGTTTCCAAAAAATGGTACGTATTTCATATGTCTACAGAAATATAGTAGTTCTGCTTTCAATTAGGTTTGTTAATTGTCAATCTGATTGAGATACAGATGTTGTGGCCACACTTTGCTTATAAGTATCCAACAACTTAAGTCAAAGACAAACTGACAATACCATGGCAAAAACAAATTAATTAGCTAAGAAATAAACAAAAGTCTGCAAAACACAATATAGAAAACTAAAAACTGAACCCCATCAAAATCAGGTTTACAGGGGTGATAGAAGGTTCTTGAGAAAGGTAAGCAGATCCTGTTCCACTTGTGGCCACGTCATGTTAGGTTGTGGTGGCAGTGGATTTTTTTTTTTTTTTCTAAATTATGTTTCTACCATGAGGCCATGGTAAACTTTGAAAATTGTTATCATATATGAGGACAGTCCCTTAACAAAATAAAATGAAATATGAAAAAGATGCTACCTGACCTGCCCTATTTTTTAAAGACTGGCCAGAACACACACATACATAACTGACCTGTAAACAGACATAGATTACAATATGTTAGGTAGTTGTACCATCTTTAGTGTGTTAACATACAATTTGTCAGATACATGTAGCTTGTCACTCAGTAGTGTGTAAACAATCAATATGTCCGGTAGCTTGGTCATTCTGTTGTGTGTAAAAAAACAATATGTCAGGTAGCATGGTCACTATGTACTTTGTAAACAAACAATATTTCTGACAGCTTGGTCATTCTGTACTGTGTACAAAAATATGTCAGGTAGCTTGGGTACTCTGTAGTGTGTAAAAAACAGTATGTCCGATAGCTTGGGGTCTTTGAAGTGTGAAACAAACAAGATGTCAGGTAGCTTGGGCTCTCTGTGGTGTGTAAACAAACAATATGTCAGATAGCTTGGGCACTCCGTGGTGTGTAAGCAAACAATTTCTCAGGTAGCTTGGGATCTCCGTAGTGTGTTAACAAACAATATTTCAGGTAGCTTGGCCATGCAGTCTTAACTGTGTAAACAAACAATATGTCAGGTAGCTTGGCCACTATGTACTGTGTAAACAAACAATATGTTCGGTAGCTTGGCCACTATGTACTGTGTAAACAAACAATATGTCAGGTATCTTGGCCACTATGTACTGTGTAAACAAACAATATGTCAGGTAGCTAGGTACTCTGTACTGTGTAAACAAACTATATGTCAGTCATGTAGCTTGGGGACTTTGTTGTTAACTTATACCCTACATGACCTACCTATTATGTTATCTGTTAATTTTGTTCTCTTCTTCAATATGCATGAAAATTTGCCACTGGATGTTGAACAATACATCCATCTATGTCAATGAATGTATTTCCAAAACAAACCAAATATGATGTTATAAAACTTTCAGAAAAATATCAAATAATGTAAAAATATATCAAATAAATGAATGCTATCTTGACATGAGAAGAATAAGACAGAAAAAAGCAACATTATGGCACCAGTCAGGAATTAACTCATCAAAAGAAAAAATATAGGGAAAAAATGTATTTCATGAAATTTGTTTTCCATACATGGTGCTGTATGAATTTATTTACCAGTCACTTTAACTCTGCTGAATTCTGTATTTGAGGATAGGAATAACTGTTGACGGTCAATGTCTGTTGTTGTTACAGGTGTACCTGATTCCAAAACTTTTGATGTAACATTGATGATCTGTTTGACCAGAAACTTGACATCTGTCACTCCTCCAATCAATGGATTTGACAAGCTACCACTACCAGGGGAGACAACTCCAGGGCCTGATCTTGCCAGGATTAAATGGTACAGAAATATATTAGCTCATCATGATAGTAACACTATGCCAACATGTGATTTCAATACAGCATGGAGAAATGTAGTAGATGTAAGTACATTCTTAAACAAATAATAATGTTGTACAATATGGGACCTAGCAACTACAGGTCTGCATACGGTTTCAGCAATGAGCAAAACCCATACCATAAAGTAAACTAAACACGGACAAGGCATGATTAACACAATGTTAAAAAGAAAATAAACAACCTAATTTATTAATGAAACAATAAATGAAAAAAAAAAGTTGTAGAAAACCAATGAATTGACAGCTCCTGATTTGGTCTTTACATGTATTGTTAAAAATGTTTGTGAGCACTCAACCCGTCTCTAACCTGTGACAGTAGTGTAAAAGAGAGGCAAAAGATACCAAAGGGACATTCAAACTCATAAGTCGAAAATGAACTAAAACACCATGGCAAAAAACGAACAGCCATGAATGTATGTTACGGTAAAACATAACATTAAATTAAAAAAAAAATCAGTTGAAAAGGGCTTGACTCATCAGATCGACAAACAAAAATCTGATACATGTGATAAGAGTAAAGAAATAAAGCACGTACAGTTACTGACAACTTATATTAATAAACTAGTAGAAGAAATACATCGTACTTCACACACTAAGATATCAATCAGTACAAATCATCTAGTGGATTTAATGCAAAGACATCATCTTATTATATATGAGTCACAATTTCAATTAATTGACTAAAATGTTGGCATAATTTTTTTATTCATCCTGGGACATATATTTCCTGAGGTTTTTTCATCATCATAAATCTAAAACCTATACCTGACCCCAAAAAATTACTTCTTATGTATATATAAAGATAGCAACTCTGTTTATGGTAACTCTTTGAAATTTTTGTTTATAGGCTGTAAGTCGATTGGGTGGTGTGTCAATGAATCAGGAGTGCCAAGATCTAAAAGTAAAAATGTTAGATCAGTCAAACCAGGAAATTATGCTGGAAATCAAACAATCACAGGAAGAAATGAAGGAACTGAGACGAACAATGGACATTGAAAACTCAACCATCAGGGAAAATCTGAGAGATCTGCAAGATTCCCATAATACTTTACAGACAGAAAACTCAAGAGCTACAGAAAATCTAAGAGATTTGCAAGATTCCCACACTTCTTTACAAACAGAGCACTCAAGCACTATGAAAAATCTGATAGATCTGAAAGATTCCCATAGTACTTTACAAATTGAACACTCAAAAGTCACAGAGATGTTAAAAGACCCAATACCATGGAACATAAGAGGTATATAAAATACTACAAGAAGACAGAGTACTGTAGTAAATTCAGAGTTATATAGGGGACATATACAAACAGTTTCTTAAAGTTCTTCTATATTTTCCAAGTTATCTATTTTTCAATTCAGTAAAATTTTGTAGATATTACCTGATCAATACATTGTATGTTGGATTTGTCATCAATATTATTAGGTGAAAATAATACTCTGAAATGATATTAGCAATTGAATTTTTTTATTGAAAGAATCATTCTTAGCGTATTAACATGCAGTTTAGATATTTTAGCTGAAAATGTTCCAGGCTTCAGGTACTATAAATAAAACTTAAATCAAAGTTTAATAGGAAAGATATTTGGATGCTTAACAATTCACACATGTACAGGTAGACAAATCCTACGTCTTGACAAGGAAATTAAAGAGCTGAATTATTTTGTATCGTTTAGTAAAGATGCCTTATATTCTGAAGTTTCAGGATTCTATGACTGCAAACAAAAAAACTTAGATGCTATGTTTTATTTTTTTTAATTATAAATGAGATCAGCTATGTGGATTAATTATGTTTATAGGTCAACTACATATTGTGTATATATTTGGAAATTTATGATGAAATTGCAAAACAAATCTTTTGTTAATTTTATCATTCAATGATTATGTCAAACCAATTATCAATACCATATGTAAATATAAAAATTTGAAGATGTGGTATGATTGCCAATGAGACAACTCTTCACAAGAGACCAAATGACATTGAAATTAACAACTATAGGTCTCTTACGGCCTTCAACAATGAGTAAAACCCATACCACATAGTCAGCTATAAAAGGCCTCGGAATGACAAATGTAAAACAATTCAAACGAGAAAACTAACAGCCTGATTTATGTACAAAATAATAAATGAAAAACAAATATGATAAACCGCAACAGTCAATTTTCCATACTATATGTCAAACCAACTGTCCATACCATCTGTCATGTAAATTGTCTATATCATATGTCAAACCAATTTTCCATACCATATGTCAAGCAAATTGTATATACCTAATGTCAAGCAACTTGGCTATACCATATATGTCAAGTCAATGGTCTATACCTAATGTCAGGCCACTTGGCTATAGCGGATGCCAAGTCAATTATTATGTCAAACCAATTGCCCATACCATATGTTAAGCCAATTGTCTATACCTAATGTCAAGCCACTTGGCTATACCTTATGTCAGGTCAATAAGTTATACCATATGTCAGGTCAATTAGCTATACCATATGCCAAGTCAATTATTATGTCAAACCAATTGTCCATACCTTTTATGTCAAGTCAATTGTCCATACCATATGTCAAGTCAATTGTCTATACCTTATGTCAATTCACTAGTCCTGCACATATGTCAAGTCAATTGTCTACTCCATATGTCAATTCACTAGTCCTGCACATATGACAAGTCAATTGTCCATACATAATGTCAATTCCATAGTCCATACCATATGTGAATTCCATAGTCCATACATAATGTCAATTCACTAGTCCTTACCATATGTCAAGTCAATTGTCAATATTATATGTCAATTCAATTGTTCATACCATATGTCAAGTCAATTGTCTTAACCTATGTCAAGTCAATTGCCCACACCATAGGTCAGGTCATTTGTCTTTAACATATGTCATGTCAATTGTCTATACCTAATGTCAATTCCATAGTCCATATCATATGTCAATTCCATAGTCCATACCATATGTCAAGTCAATTGTCCATACCATATGTCAATTCAAAATCTATACCATATTACAATACAATAATCTATACCATATGTCAAGTCAATGGTCCATACCATATGTCAAGTCAATTGTCCATACCATAAGCCATGTCATTTATCTCTATTTCATGTTAAGCGGTTTTTTTTTCTATACCATTTGTCAAGCAAATTGTCCATACGAATTGTCAAGTCCAATGTCTATACCAATTGTCAATACAACAATCTATTCCATATGTCAAGTCTATTGTCTATACAATATGTCAAGTCAATTGTCCATACAATATGTCAGGTCAATTGTCCATACCATATGTAAGTTAATTGTCTATAACTCATGTCAATTCCATAGTCAATAGCATATGTCAAGTCAATTATCCATACCATATGTCAGTCTATTTTCTATACAATATGTCAGGTCAATTGTCTATACAATATGTCAGGTCAATTGTCCATACCATATGTCAAGTCAACAGTCCATACCATAAGTCCTGTCAATTTTTGTATGGCATGTTTAGCGTTTTTTCTATGTTGACAATTTGTCAAGCAAATTGTTCATACCATATGTCAAACCAATTGTCTATACCATATGTCATGTCAATTGTCTGTATGACATATAAAGCGTTTTTCTTTACCATTTGTCCTGCAAATTGCCCATATCATATATCAAACCTATTCCCTTTGCATATCGTTCATAGATCAAGCCTTTTGTCTATACCATATGTCAAGTCCTTTGTCTATACCATATGTCAAGCCTTTTGTTTATAACGTTAGATCAAGCACTTTGTCTATACCATATGTCAAGCCTTTTGTTTGTTTGTACCGTATTTCAAGCCTTTTGTATATAACATATGTCAAACAAATTTTCTTTACCATATATGTCAAAACAATCCTTAACTTTTATCTTGAAAGAATGAGTATTCAAAGAATTGTCTAATCTTATTTTCCAGAACAAATTACTGAGAAATTAGAAAGTTGGAAAGAAGATGACAAAACATTTATAGAAACAAAAGGAGCAAAAAGTGTATTAAAGTATATTAAAGAAAACTGTTGTGTTGTTGTCACAGCAAGTTCTGGTACTGGAAAATCATCATTGGTGCGTCATGTAGCTTTACAGATGCAAAATGAAGGCTATGAGATTTTACCAGTATCAAATCCTAAGGAAATCATCAAGTGGTACAATCCAATTAAGAAGATATTGTTTGTTGTGGATGATTTTTGTGGAACATATAGTTTAAATCCAATGGAGTTTGAAAACTGGAAAAATTTGATGGAAAAAATTAAAGCATTAATAGAAAAGAAACCAGTGAAGTTAATTATGTCTTGTAGACTACAGGTTTATAAGGATGGACAAATGAAATCGTTGTCATTCTTTCAAGCGTGTGAATGCAATCTTCTGTCTGCCGATTTGTGTTTATCAAACTCAGAAAAACAATGCATAGCTAATTACTACCTGAAAACAAACTCTTCTAAGGTTAATGAATTTTATGACATGTATGACTGTTTTCCTCTTTTGTGTCAGTTACACAGCAAAAACCCAAAACTGAACATTATAGATTTCTTTACGAATCCATTTACAGTTTACAAAGAAGAGATAGATAAATTACAGTTAGGAGCACATGGAAAATATTGTGCACTTGCACTATGTGTAATGTTTAACAATCAGTTGAAAGAAGAATGGCTTACTGAAGATGTGGATGAAAACATCAAAACAATTATAAAGAACACATATGAAGCTTGTAAAGTGGTTGAAGGGACGTCAAGATTGGTTCTACGTGATGAGCTGGATTCACTTACTCATACATTTATCAGAAAGGATGGTGAAGTGTACAGAACTATACATGACAAGCTGTTTGACTTTCTTGCTTTTTACTTTGGTAGTGAAATGATTTATTGTTTAATTAATAATGCTACAAGTCAATTTATTAGTGAAAGATTTTTATATGAAAGAAAAAAAAAAAGTGATGAATTGACAATTATTTTACCAACGAGATATCAGCAAATGTATATAAACAGAATGATAGATGACTGGTCAAGAGGAGAGGTAGTGGATGTCTTCTGTAACATCAATATGGACAATTGTATCTTCAGACAACAATTCCTAGTAGGTATTCAAGGCTTAGCAATATCACAACAAAAACAATTGGCCAGTTCATATGACACTGATAACAAAGGTACTCCATTGATACAGTGTTGTTTTATAGGAGATATGGATTTAGTTAAATGGTGTCTACATCATTGTGTCAGTAATGTAAACCATTGTCGTAATATTGATAAGGTATCACCTCTGTACATTGCTTGTCAGGAAGGACATACTGAAGTAGTTAAAATGTTAATAAACAATAAGGCAGACATTAATAAGTGTACAGATACTGGTGAATCACCTCTGTACATTGCTTGTCATAAAGGACATACTAAAGTAGTTCAGATGTTAATAAACAATAAGGCAGACATTAATAAGTATAGTGATACTGTAGTATCACCTCTGTACATTGCTTGTCATGAAGGACATACTGAAGTAGTTCAGATGTTAATAAACAATAAGGCAGACGTTAATAAGTGTACAGATACTGATGGAATATCACCTCTGTACATTGCTTGTCAGAATGGACATACTGAAGTAGTTAAGATGTTAATAAACAATAAGGCAGACATTAATAAGTGTAGAGATATTGGAACATCACCTCTGCATGTTGCTTGTGGGCAAGGACATACTGAAGTAGTTCAGATGTTAATAAACAATAAGGCAGACATTAATAAGTGTACAGATAGTGGAGTATCACCTCTGTACATTGCTTGTCAGAATGGACAAACTGAAGTAGTTCAGATGTTAATAAACAATAAGGTAGACATTAATAAGTGTAGAGATACTGGAGAATCACCTCTGTACATTGCTTGTCATAAAGGACATACTAAAGTAGTTCAGATGTTAATAAACAATAAGGCAGACATTAATAAGTATAGTGATACTGTAGTATCACCTCTGTACATTGCTTGTCATGAAGGACAAACTGAAGTAGTTCAGATGTTAATAAACAATAAGGTAGACATTAATAAGTGTAGAGATACTGGAGAATCACCTCTGTACATTGCTTGTTATAAAGGACAAACTGAAGTAGTTCAGATGTTAATAAACAATAAGGCAGACATTAATAAGTGTACAGATAGTGGAGAATCACCTCTGTACATTGCTTGTCAGGAAGGACATACTAAAGTAGTTAAGTTGTTAATAAACAATAAGGTAGACATTAATAAGTGTAATGATAAAGAAGTATCACCTCTGTACATTGCTTGTTATAAAGGACATACTGAAGTAGTTCAGATGTTAATAAACAATAAGGCAGACATTAATAAGTGTACAGATAGTGGAGCATCACCTCTGTACATTGCTTGTCAGGAAGGACATACTAAAGTAGTTCAGATGTTAATAAACAATAAGGTAGACATTAATAAGTGTAGAGATACTGGAGCATCACCTCTGTACATTGCTTGTCAGGAAGGACATACTGAAGTAGTTCAGATGTTAATAAACAATAAGGCAGACATTAATAAGTGTAATGATAAAGAAGTATCACCTCTGTACATTGCTTGTTATAAAGGACATACTGAAGTAGTTCAGATGTTAATAAACAATAAGGCAGACATTAATAAGTGTACAGATACTGATGGATTATCACCTATATTTATAGCATGTTATAAAGGCCATGCAGAGATTGTTGAATTGTTATTGAAACATAAAGCAGACTGTTACCATAAATGGAAAGGACTTACACCGTTAAATATTGCTAGAAGAGAAAACCACAAAAATATTGTACATTTATTAGAGAGATGGAACAAACAATCAATATAATTATTATGCATAGCAGTGGTTTAAGGACAGTAATCAGAACACTAAATTGTAAAACACTTGCTTCAAGTTTTTATTTCGCAATATTAAAATAATGCAATTTTAATTAATTTCTTCTCATGTTGATTTATGTCAGCATGGATTGTACAGTTTTCATATGACTGCAAAATTTTTGCGGTCGAATATTGGTATCACGTCGGTGTCATCGTCGTCGTCCGAAGACATTTGGTTTTCGCACAATAACTTTAGTATAAGTAAATAGAAATCTATGAAATTTAAACACAAGGTTTATGACCACAAAAAAAAGGTTGGGATTGATTTTGGGAGTTTTGGTCCCAACAGTTTAGGAATTAGGGGCCAAAAAAGGGCCCAAATAAGCATTTTTCTAGTTTCCAGACAATAACTTGTGGAATGGTGTATGGATCTCTCTGAAATTATACCACAAGTTTCCATACCACAAAGGGATGGTAAGAATTGTCTTTGGGGGTTATGGCTCAAACCGTTAAGGAATAAGGGGCAAAAAAAGGGGAAAAACAAGGGTTTCCAGGTTAATGGACAATTACTTAAAAATACAAAACATAATTTAAAAGCAGTGTAAGGGAGGTAATTCAAATGTGTCACTTACACTGCTTTTAAATCATGTATATTGGAAATTTGCCAATAATTTTAGTATTAATAAATTCCATTGGAAATTTGCCAATAACTTAAGTATAAGTAAATATAAATCTATGAAATTTAAACACAAGGTTTTAAACCACAAAAGGAAGATTGGGATTGATTTTGGGGGTTATGGTCCCAACAGTTTAGGAATTAAGGGCCTAAAAAGGGGTCCAAATAAGCTTTTTTTCTAGTTTCCAGACAATAACTTGTGTGTAAGTGTATGGATCTTTCTGAAATTGTACCACAAGGTTCCATACTGAAAAAGGAAGGTTGGGATTGATTTTGGGGATTATGGCTCTAACTGTTTCAGAATTAGTGGCCAAAAAGGGGCCAAAACAATACTTTTCTAATACTTTGGATAAATTGCTTATTTCTTGACCAATTTCAATGGGGTTTTATTCTTGAATTCTTGGGGTTCTTTAATATGCTGAATCTAACCGTGTATTAAGGTTTTGGATTTTGGCCCCATTTTTAAATTGGTTCACATTGAGGTCAAAAGGGTCCAAAATTAAACTTTGTTTGATTTCATCAAAAATTGAATTCTTGGGGTTCTTTGATATGCTGAATCTAAACATGTATTTAGATATTTGATTATGGGCCCAGTTTTCAAGTTGGTCCAAATCGGGGTCCAAAATTAAACTTTGTTTGATTTCAACAAAAATTGAATATATGGGGTTCTTTAATATGCTGAATCTAACAGTGTATTAAGTTTTTGGTTTTGGACCCCGTTTTAAAATTGGTCCACATTGAGGTCCAAAGGGTCCAAAATTAAACTCTGTTTGATTTCATCAAAAATTGAATTATTGGGGTTCTTTGATATGCTGAATCTAACCGTGTATTTAGATTCTTAATTTTTGGTCCCGTTTTCAAATTGGTCTACATTAAGGTCCAAAGTGTCCAAAATTAAACTTAGTCTGATTTCAACAAAAATTGAATATATGGGGTTCTTTGATATACTGAATCTAACCGTGTATTAAGTTTTTTAACTTTGGGCCCTGTTTTTAAATTGGTCCACATTGAGGTCCAAAGGGTCCAAAATTGAACTTTGTTTGATTTCATCAAAAATTGAATTACAGGGGTTCTTTGATATGCCGAATCTAACCGTGTATTTAGATTCTTAATTTTTGGTCCCGTTTTCAAATTGGTCTACATTAAGGTCCAAAGGGTCCAAAATTAAACTTAGTTTGATTTTAACAAAAATGAATTCTTGGGGTTCTTTGATATGCTGAATCTTAACATGTATTTAGATTTTTGATTATGGGCCCAGTTTTCAAGTTGGCCCATATCAGGGTCCAAAATTAAACTTTGTTTGATTTGAACAAAAATTGAATATATGGGTTTTTTTGATATGCTAAATCTAACCGTGTATTAAGATTCTTAATTTTTGGTCCCGTTTTCAAATTGGTCTACAGTAAGGTCCAAAGGGTCCAAAATTAAACTTAGTTTGATTTTAACAAAAAATCAATTCTTGGGGTTCTTTGATATGCCGAATCTTAACATGTATTTAGATTTTTGATTATGGGCCCAGTTTTCAAGTTGGCCCAAATCAGGGTCCAAAATTAAACTTTGTTTGATTTTTACAAAAATTGAATTACAGGTGTTCTTTGATAAGCCGAATCTAACCGTGTATGAAGTTTTTGGATTTTGGGCCCTGTTTTTAAATTGGTCCACATTGAGGTCCAAAGGATCCAAAATTAAACTTTGTTTGATTTTATCAAAAATTGAATTACAGGGGTTCTTTGATATGCCGAATCTAACCTTGTATTTAGATTCTTAATTTTTGGTCCCGTTTTCAAATTGGTCTACATTAAGGTCCAAAGGGTCCAAAATTAAACTTAGTTTGATTTTAACAAAAATTGAATTCTTGGGGTTCTTTGATATGCTGAATCTAAACATGTATTTAGATTTTTGATTATGGGCCCAGTTTTCAAGTTGGTCCAAATCGGGGTCCAAAATTAAACTTTGTTTGATTTTAACAAAAAATGAATAAATGGGGTTCTTAAATATGCTGAATCTAACCGTGTATTAAGTTTTTGGATTTTTGGCCCCGTTTTTAAATTGGTCCACATTGAGGTCCAAAGGGGCTAAAATTAAACTTAGTTTTATTTCATCAAAAATTGAATTACAGGTGTTCTTTGATAAGCCGAATCTAACCGTGTATTTAGATTCTTAATTTTTGGTCCCGTTTTCTAATTGGTCTACATTAAGGTCCAAAGGGTCCAAAATAAAACTTAGTTTGATTTTAAGAAAAATTGAAATCTTGGGGTTCTTTGATATGCTGAATCTAACCGTGTATATAGATTCTTAATTTTTGGTCCCGTTTTCAAATGGGTCTACAGTAAGGTCCAAAGGGTCCAAAATTAAACTTTGTTTGATTTTAACAAAAATTGAATTCTTGGGGTTCTTTGATATGCTGAATCTAAACATGTATTTAGATTTTTGATTATGGGCCCAGTTTTCAAGTTGGTCCAAATCGGGGTCCAAAATTAAATTTTGTTTGATTTCAACAAAAATTGAATATATGGGGTTCTTTAATATGCTAAATCTAACCGTGTATCAAGTTTTTGGATTTTGGGCCCCGTTTTTAAATTGGTCCACATTGAGGTCCAAAGGGTCCAAAATTAAACTTTGTTTTATTTCATCAAAAATTGAATTACAGGGGTTCTTTGATAAGCCGAATCTAACCATGTATTTAGATTCTTAATTTTTGGTCCCGTTTTCAAATTGGTCTACATTAAGGTCCAAAGGGTCCAAAATTAAACTTAGTTTGATTTTAACAAAAATTGAATTCTTGGGGTTCTTTGATATGCTGAATCTAAACATGTATTTAGATTTTTGATTATGGGCCCAGTTTTCAAGTTGGTCCAAATCGGGGTCCAAAATTAAACTTTGTTTGATTTTAACAAAAAATGAATAAATGGGGTTCTTTAATATGCTGAATCTAACCGTGTATTAAGTTTTTGGATTTTTGGCCCTGTTTTTAAATTGGTCCACATTGAGGTCCAAAGGGTCCAAAATTAAACTTAGTTTTATTTCATCAAAAATTTAATTACAGGTGTTCTTTGATAAGCCGAATCTTACCGTGTATTTAGATTCTTAATATTTGGTCCCGTTTTCTAATTGGTCTACATTAAGGTCCAAAGGGTCCAAAATAAAACTTAGTTTGTTTTTGAGAAAAATTGAAATCTTGGGGTTCTTTGATATGCTGAATCTAACCGTGAATATAGATTCTTAATTTTTGGTCCCGTTTTCAAATGGGTCTACAGTAAGGTCCAAAGGGTCCAAAATTAAACTTTGTTTGATTTTAACAAAAATTGAATTCTTGGGGTTCTTTGATATGCTGAATCTAAACATGTATTTTGATTTTTGATTATGGGCCCAGTTTTCAAGTTGGTCCAAATCGGGGTCCAAAATTAAACTTTGTTTGATTTTAACAAAAATTGAATATATGGGGTTTTTCATTAATATGCTAAATCTAACCGTGTATCAAGTTTTTGGATTTTGGGCCCCGTTTTTAAATTGGTCCACATTAAGGTCCAAAGGATCCAAAATTAAACATTGTTTTATTTCATCAAAATTGAATTACAGGGGTTCTTTGATATGCCGAATCTAACCGTGTTTTTAGATTCTTAATTTTTGGTCCCGTTTTCCAATTAATCTACATTAAGGTCCAAAGAGTCCAAAATTAAACTTAGTTTGATTTTTACAAAAATTGAATTCTTGGGGTTCTTTGATATGCTGAATCTAAACATGAATTTAGATTTTTGATTATGGGCCCAGTTTTCAAGTTTGTCCAAATCGGGGTCCAAAATTAAACTTTTTTTGTAGTTTGATTTCAACAAAAATTGAATATAAGGGTTTCTTTGATAAACTGAATCCAACCGTATATTAAGTTTTTTTGATTTTGGGCCCCGTTTTTAAATTGGTCTACATTAAGGTCCAAAGTGTCCAAAATTAAACTTAGTCTGATTTCAACAAAAATTGAATATATGGGGTTCTTTGATATACTGAATCTAACCGTGTATTAAGTTTTTTAACTTTGGGCCCCGTTTTTAAATTGGTCCACATTGAGGTCCAAAGGGTCCAAAATTGAACTTTGTTTGATTTCATCAAAAATTGAATTACAGGGGTTCTTTGATATGTCGAATCTAACCGTGTATTTAGATTCTTAATTTTTGGTCCCGTTTTCAAATTGGTCTACATTAAGGTCCAAAGGGTCCAAAATTAAACTTAGTTTGATTTTAACAAAAATGAATTCTTGGGGTTCTTTGATATGCTGAATCTTAACATGTATTTAGATTTTTGATTATGGGCCCAGTTTTCAAGTTGGCCCATATCAGGGTCCAAAATTAAACTTTGTTTGATTTGAACAAAAATTGAATATATGGGTTTTTTTGATATGCTAAATCTAATCGTGTATTAAGATTCTTAATTTTTGGTCCCGTT